TTTTTTTTTTTTTTTTTTGTCTCAGAATTTTATGCAGTGGCTACTTAGTATTACAACTCCTTTGAGCAGGGACTGAACCAGCCTGCAGCTGAGTGCCCAAACTCCCACAGGTACAGACGCCGCCACCTCTATCTCCCCCACTTTCGGGGCAACTCTGCTCCCACCCCCAGACCACACCAGCAGTGCCCAGCACTGGGCCTGCACTGGCCCAGGCTCCCACTGCACGGATGCCCCAGGTGGCTGCTGGGGGGAAGGAGAGGGCGGGGCCACAGCCCTGCAGCACCCTGTGCCCACAGGGGTGCAGCCCAGGGCTTGCGCTGCCCACCACGCAAAGTGACCGTCCCTTTCTAGGACTGCCAGGGGCCGCCCAGCTCGCCTCCGCCTCCTAGGAACATGCTGGGCTTTCTCCCTGAGGAAGGAGACAATGAGCAGGACAGAAGCCAGACAAGCTTTGTACCCCAGCTGATGGGTTTTCACATTCACCTGTAGGAACAGCAGCTGAGGGAGACAACAATGCTTCTGATCTGCCCAGTTTGACTCGTGCCCTTCACACAGCAGTGGGGAGAAGGAAACCGCCGTGTGAGACAGGGAGCAGGGAGGGCACCTGGCCTGGAGCTGTTCTGGCCAGTGCCAGCCCCCAGCCCTGGTTCTGCCTGCTGCCCCCCACCCCCTGAGCTGCACAGGTGCCTCTGACCCCACAGCCGCAAACCGCCAAGGGCAGCGGTGCCCGTCAGACTGGAAAGATGGGGTCTTGGGACTATTTTAATTCATTAATGCCGTGGTTCTGAGGCACAGGATGCATCTGTTTGCCTTTGCCTTCCTTCCATGAATGAGTTTCCAGGACTTGACGTTGGCTGTGTCATCCTCTGCAGGCTCTCCTGGGAAGCCCAAAAGCCAAGTGCAGCCTCTGCCAATTAGCTCAGCCCACACAAACCGCAAAGTCATCATGTATTTTAGCTGGGGGTGCACCCCTGCCACCGCCAATGCCAGCTCTGCTTTGCTGCTTTTGTACACACAGGTGGATCCCCAGCAAAGCTGGGGGCTACATAAAACCTTAGTTGCTTAATTAGGACTGCACTGAAATGTGACTTTCCAGTTGGAATGGTTCTTCGGTCCAAGTAGTAACACAGCAGCAAGTTGCTGCTGTGCCCAACCTGGAGGTAACACGAGTTTCCCTTCCATCAGCCGTGTGTTTCAGAATCCCACCCTTCACCACCAGCTACCCAAACTCTTCAGATTAGCACATAAACACTTTCCAAGTGCCAGCACTCCGTGTGGTAACTGATCACAATGATCATAAATATACCAAAACCTTGGTCATACTACGAATTTCAAATTAAAGATACCAGTGATACTCTCGTCAAAAAGGTGTTCAGGGGTGTCCAGGTATGTTTGACCATAGGCTCCATTGTTTTAAACTTCAATGCAGCTGCATGTAAAACCAACTACATCACCCTTCTTGTTTCTGAAAACAAGATCACACCACAGGTAAATAAAGTCTGAGGGAAAATCGTCTCGTATCTCTCTCAATCTAGGATTCAACAAGAAAAGCAAAAATAACTGCTACTACTGACTTTTTGTATGATAGCCACTAGAAGAAGAAACCATCACACAGGCTCTTGCGTGCTCATGCTCTGCACTGTCACATCTGTCAGCTTAAACTAGACAAAGGATTTTACTTTCGTTTACTGCGAAACAACCTAAGTGATCTCTCACAATACATATGAAAAAAACCAAAAAAATCCATAGTGAAGGCAAAACCCTACAAAACCATGCCAATAAAATGCAATCCACATCCAAGTGCCAATTGTACCTGAACTGTATCGTTATATGAGCCCCCCCAATGGGCCTGCAGTTTTCATGGGGGTCACCACAGTAGGTGCTTCTCTCAGAGCATCCAGTCCAAGGGCTCCTAGGCCCTTGGGCCACCAAACTCTCCCGATCTCTGGAAAACCAAGAAATCTCCTCCTAAGGTCTCCCACACCTTCACTCTCTTGCACCAGCATCCAGACGTTGTTACAGCAGCAGTAACTCTGGAGGGACAGCGGGCAGGCTGGCGTGGCCCGGGGGGAGCTTACCCTTCCCGCAATCACAGGTGCTGGCAACTGGCCAGCGAGACAGGGGTTTACTTCTCTCCTTTCATCAAGGTATTTCAGGTTATCTGTATAAAACTGGAACCAAAACCCTCATTCTCATAAAGCACCACATACTACTGTTACCAAAAAAACAAAAAGTTTTCAAATCCTGTAAAAACAGCATCGTTATGCTTTGAAAGAGCAGAGAGGGTTCTCACAGACATATCCTTATCAGGCTTGTTAGCACAGGAAATACTCACTTTTACAGGCTTTATCTGCTCTTTTCCCCTCTACCTGGCAAGACAGAATCTCTCTGATCGTCTCTGCTGGCATGGCGGCAGTGCCGTCACACCTCCACGCTGCCAAGGGATCCCGTGGCTGCGGGAGAGGCTAAAGCTACAGAAAATTTTCTTAAGCTGTCAGCCAGATGTGTGCTGGCTGGTGGCAAAACCAGCAGTGCCAGCACAAGGAAAACAGCAGCCCATGCCTGGGGTAAAGGAGGGTTTCCCCTCTAGAGGCAGCCCACCTCTGTCTTCAGTTTACATGGCCACGGAACCATTTCCCTGCAGGACACAGCTATTCTTGCAGCAGCGCAGAGCAACTGCAGAAACTGGTTTCCAGTGGACAGATTCAAGGCAGAGGCACTAACCTGCGAGCTGTCTGAAGGGGGACTTCCAGGCAGCCCATCCCTAACTACACATGACAAGTGTGACTCCAAATAAAAAGAAAAAAAAAAAAAAAGATAAACATCAAAGCCTTCCATAAACTCATCCTGCACTGGAAGGGTGGCAATTATGCCCTTCTTAACTCTGAGGCTATTTGCAAGGGAAAGGATCGGGAGACTTGGAAAGGGTGCTCAAGTGGAAGAGGTTTATCTTGCTCCATTCAGACAAAAGGATTACAGGCATAAAACTGTCTGTCACCTTGGAGAAGCTGGAGTCTGGAGATTTTGCCTCTGAAGCCTTGGGGATGCAGGGAAGGAAGCTATTTTGTTCAAATTAAAGACAGATGCAGCTTCCTGAGAGAGGATCTCCTCCCAAATTAGTGGATATTGTAAGACATTTGTCTCTACTGGCATTAGCCCTGCACTGACTAGGTGCAAATGAGATGACAATCAGGAGAAATGTGTATTAGAAATATCACCTGGTTACTTCACGTTATTCCTATTCCTCTAATTTACATTTCCCTGGATGTTTCACACTGTGCATTAGTGATTCACAATGATGTACATTTACACACAGCAGGAGAAAAATTAATGAGTTCCATCACTTCCCTTATCTGGAAGACTTTATGCCTGAGATACAGCTCCTTCGTTTTCTGCCTTTTGATCTCCACAGAGTAATCTGTTTTCCCCTTGGCAGAACTGTATAATTCTTGCTAATTTAATATGAATTACATTTATGCACTTTGGGCAGAATAAGCCTCATCGTTTGTTATTTCTCACACATTCTCTTAAACCCAGGCAAGCCAGACAAATTCCACCTGCCCGTCCCCCGCAGGTAGGCATGCACGTAGCGTGATGACCAGTGTCAAATGCTGAGGTAGTGCACGGCACACATACATGCAGCAACTAAACAAGAGGTTTATGCCAGGGAAATGGGGAGAAAGAGCTTCTGAGCCTTCCCTCCTGCACGAGGCATCGCTTATTGCATCGCACAGCCTGTGCTAGGCAGGAAATCATGTAAATAAATAATGATGGCTTTTGTTAGGTATGTCATGGTGCCATAGGCCCCACTCGGGGCACTGTCATAAAAAAAGTGGCAAATTCCTGTGGCTACGTCTTTCTCCAAGATGCTACCAGTAGCTCCAAATGATTTCTGAAAAGACACAAGCAAAGGAGTAGGGAAAGTTAGGCACGCAGGCTTATTTACTGGAAAAAACCCGCCACATTATGATTTTACATTTCTGTTGAATACTGAAAGCAATTCTCCTTTCCCTCATGAAAACCTTAATCAGGATTATTATAGGACCCACATGACTTAGTTGGCTCAGTGTAGTAAATGAGGAACATTTTTGTCCTCTGGGGGGGAGGGGGTGGTGGGATTACTCAAATATTGGTACTTCTAATGCCTTGGTAGAGCAAAACTTCACTTTAATCTACCCAGTTACTTCAGAGCTTGTTAGACACTGTAATTTTATTCCCTTTAAATCTCCCACAATTCTTAAATGAGTTTTCCAAATATATTGCCAGAAGATACTTAAGTGATTTGGTCTGTCTTTGTAAGGGAAAGAATAAGGATAAGATCAAGCTCGTCACACATATTACAAAAGGAGCAGAGGACAATTTTCAAATGCAGAGGTTTTCCACCTTTGAACTCACCAGCTCCTGCAGAAACAGGTCATTGGCCACGTGCACGATTCGATCCACGTGGATGATGCCCCCAATGCTGTTCACCTCAATGTCAGAGAGGAATGTGAGAACAAGAATAGCTTCCACCAATAGCTGCCTGTACTCAGGCTGGGGGACATGGTTCAGCACTGACTCCACGTGCACAGCAAACTTGATTTCGCATGGGGTCATCTGGCAAGTTTGAGTAGAAATGGGAAGAAAAACTGACAAATCCAAAAGACTAGTTCCCCACATCCTGCAAGCACTTAAACATATGCTCCTCTCTGCACACGGGTGTAGACTGACAAGCAAACAAAATGTTTGTGTGGCTTCAGCACTTATAGAAACTTTTTCTGTTACTAGGCCCTGATCCTGCAAGCAGTTATGCAACTTCCAGAAGAGTGCTCCAGCCCCGCAACCCATCACACACAGAGTTTAGTTACACACAGGAACTGCTGTATGTTAGCTAGCATATTAACTCCTCAGGCTCTGGTCTCCCACACTTTTGTCTTGTAAATATCTTTCTGGCATTGATTGCAGTTTAGTTGCATAGCCAAAATGACCACTGGAGTTTTAAAAATAACCACCTGCTTAGAGTGAATGCTTTTCCACACAGAGCTATAGCTATATTGTTTGTAGAGCGGCCTAATTTGCACTGGCATAGCTCTATAGATGTTATGTGAAAGGCTGCTGCCTTAGGAGGTTTGTGCTTATTTCATTTGATTCCTCTAAACAGAAAAATTAGATACTGTCTAGGTCTGATAGGCTAAAAATATAAGCCTATTTATCTACACAATAGGCATAAATACAGCTCTCCATTCTGAAAAAAATGCTTAAATTTGGCAGAGAATTCCAGCTCCTCTCTTCAGATGTTACCAACATCCCTCACAAGAGAAGGAAGCCGGAGACAAATCTGAGGGAACCAGACAGGAAAAGTCTCAAGCACACAAGCACCTCTCTTACTGTTCACAAGAGTTTGTTTTACACATGTGAATTCAAAACTTGCCAGAGCACCTAAAGACAATGTGGCAATCCAACTAAGGAAAAGAAATGTAAGCAAAGGTTATGGATTTAAAGAGGCAAAGCTTTGGTTAGAAACAATCCTCCTTAATTGGTATTTACTCTTGAGACTGTGATGTCAAAACACACTGGCTGTTGTTGCAGCATATTAAAAATATATAAGTGGCAAGCAATGTGTCTGCTTCATTCCAACAAGGCTGCGCTTTCTCCTCGCCCTGCCCGAAGGGCTGCCACCAGCCGCCCTCTTTCAAGCACCGCTCCTTGGGTATGCAGGGTCAGTGAAGGCGAGCAGGCAGGAGAGAAAACCTATCACAAACCCGCTCCCAGGCCTGCTGGGCAGGAACTCATCTGCACAGCCCGGGGGAAGCTGGCAGAGGTGCTGGGGAAAGACCCCGATCTACCAGCCTTCTTAAAACCAAGGATCTGCAACAGCAGCCCCGCTGTGTCTTACATTGTCAAACCAAACATTCAGTCTGGGAAACGTTCAGGCTAGGCAATTGTTGGCATTTTACCATACCTCTCTGGTGGTTGAAGAAGGAAGGACATACCCATCAATGGACAGACCATGGCACTGAAACAACATATTGACAACGAAATTACAGTCTTGCAAGTAAATCTGAGGGTTTTCTGTTCTAACCCAATATATAACTTTCAATTAAAAAAAAAAAAAGCAAACAGAAAACCACCAAACCCAACAAAATCTGTTACAAATATTATTTCACCTTTGCTGAAGAAGTTATTATGTAACCTGGCAAATATTAGAAGTAGCCTGATATGACACACAGTGAGCGAGCTGTGTTCCAGTCTAGCTACTGAAGGGGAAGAAAGTACTTAGAGAGCCACTACAGCAAGAGGCACACAAAGGAGGAAAACAAATCAATGAGAGCATCCTGTGGGAAAGGATGTAGAAATAAAAGATAATGCAAAAGCACAACCACAAAGGAAGACTTTTTTTTTTTTTTTTCCCTAAAACAACATTTAGTTAAGTGTTTCAGATCCAGGGTGCCACAACTCAAGGACGTTGATGTGTTGTGGTGCTTGGACATGGGCCACCAGCAGTGGGGGAGAGGTGGTGGAAATACCAAATGGTATACAAGAAAAGAGTGACAAAACCTAAAAGGTGAGAAAGCAGGCTAAAGGATGACACATCTGAGTACCTGAGGTACAGAAACACACCAAGAAGAGAAACATTTTATGGATAGTTCAAAGAGAGTTTAAGAATGAAATACTGAAGACAATCTAAATAAGCACAATTGATTTTAATAGCCAGAGAAGCCATTCACATACTCCCAGCTGTTATGTTAGGCCAGGACAGGAGTGATGCTCACTCTACTGAAAGATCCCATTAATAAATAGCCACGAGGTCATATATGACTTGTCTTGGCCGACATCAAGACTAACAGCTTCAACGTAAGTGATTTGAGAAGGACAACCAAAATCAACCTAAGCTGGTGATGCACATTGTTCCCAACTGTGTAGGCATGAGCAGCTCCATGCTGCAGGGTGCCAAATGCTGGCTTTCATCCAGCAAAGCAGAAGAACAGGTGCATAATCACCTTGAAATGAGTAAAAATTCAATAATTCCCCTCTCCTCCTTCCTGCAGAGCTGCTTCAACACATTTCCATACCCCTGATCTCCAAGGTGCTGGCAAGGACTTACTTTTCACTTAAAAACAAACAAAAAAACGTTACGAATGCCATACAGCTCAGAAGGGCCAGCAAGACATTTTGGAAGAGTCAGTGCAGTTTCCTACTTAATTCCTCGCAGCCTTTCAGAACTGGTGCACAGGAACTGCACGGCATTGCAGTGCCCCTCAGCGGCACTGACCACAACAACTTCCATTAGGCCACAGACAGTGCAAAACAGACAGTGGTGGAACAGAACCATTCCGCTGAAATTCAGCACCGCTGGTTTCAGGGAAAAATATACTTTCAAAACCAAACTTGTGGACTTGTGTTAATGAAGCCTTTTGCATTCAAGACACACTCCTACTAATGACTGTAGTTTCCAGCAGTCTTCCGGCTGAAGACCAACTTCAGCTCACGGCAACAGGCCACCTCTGGACTGCCGTGTCCCCAAATTACCATACAGCTGGCTTGCTTCCTGCCCTCCACAGCTGTCAACTTACCTTCTGAAGGATTTTCCACACTTTCTCATAAAAGCCCACAGGAACTCTGTTAATAGCACCATCAAGCCTCCTTCTGCGCAGCCACTGCCCTTTCCGGTCACCCCAGCTTGAGTCTCCACTGGAGCCAGTAGGAGAAGTACTAGTGGGAGATGATGGAGTACTACCCCTCTGTAAGAAATATTAAAGCCTTGGTTAGTTGCTTTCTACCACCTGAAGTGCTACTCCTGGTGAATACATCATTCTGTCACCTCAGAACCAGGGAAAAAATACAGGCTACGTCATACAAGCTGACAGAGTAGGACCGATCCCTTTTTCTGCCCTTCACAACCAGCTTCACTTCTGCAGTACTTCCAATTATTTCTCAGCAAAACTGGCAAGCAGTTCAACAAGGCACAACCACGTAAATTTCGCTGCTTGGTTCATCTGAAGGCATGACTATTTTAATAAGCATGAGCTGGCTGGCAGGGCAGTGTCACTGGTGTGCAAGATGGTGGGATTTGCAGGTAGGTCTGACTTGGACTTCAGGCTCATTGTCATAAGAGAACCAAAGGGTCCCTAAGTCTAGCTAGGGAGGTCCTCCAAGAAAAACCTCCACTAAAGTAAGCAGATTATAAATCAACTTCATGTGGTCATGTAATTGTCACACCTGCCTCTCTGTATCAGTCTTGTTTCCTTTATTATCACTATTGCTCTATTTTATCCTACCAGACTTGAAGACCAAATTAAGCAGGAAATCATCTTCAAATCTGTGGCACTGTTCCTTTTTGCACAGTTCTTACTTTCAGCCCAGAAAAGACTACACTGACAGCCCCATCTCAAATCACATCATCTCCAAGTAAGAAACTGCCTGAGCAAAGTACCAGGGAAGAAGGAAAATAAGACCAAAAACTGTATGTTTGCAAAGGGTAGGCTCACTGATTCTACACAGCCAAGCTCTGCAAAAAGGCTGGCAAAGGAAAACTGTTTCCACTCCTGCTGGTGTCAGTGAGGCACAGGTGGTGTTCACCTGATGTTTTGATGCTTGCTATTCCTTTCCACTGCACACTGACCAAGACAGACAGAACTTCCTCAACCCCGCTGAGCAGATCTAGGGGATGCAGGAGGTCAGCAAGAGGGTCGGTGCCAAAGTAAAGAAATCCATCTGCACCCAGTAATTAATCTGCTTATTCAGGTGGTTCAGAGAAGCAAAGATCTCACTGAATAATTCTGTTCACTTGAATCAAACACACAGCTGAGGCCTGCTTTTCTGCACTGGTACATGAGGAATAGAGAGGCAATAGTGACCTGGCAGTTGTCAGGCTAGGCTACAGGGCTAGTGGTGCTCTGCAGTTGGGTCTTTCGCCATGGGCAGCAGGTCTGCAGATGCAGAGAACCATGAATCACAACCGCCAGTTCAAAGTGCACAAGGAGCTGCAAACTTTTCATCTCTTCACGACAGATTTGGAGCCTCAGACTTACTTTAATTGTTGAGGTTTCTGTTGGAAAAATATTTAAACAATTATCTTCCTTCTTAACAGTGAGAACTTAAGAACTAAAGTTCTCTGCCTTGAAAGATGACAACTGCCTGAGGAGATACCTGTGCCCATAAACCCCCTGTCTCAGCAACTTGAAGCTATTCTGGATTCATTACCATCCAGGAACTGCCAGCATTTATCAATGCTACATGACTTTTAAATACTGATGACACCTGGAACATAATCCACCATCAAGTACCTAAATCTGCCATAGTGCTTTATTTGCTCCAACTGCTTAATCTTCACAAGAACTAAGTGGATCTAAATGTGGCACTCAACTTCTATGAAAATATTATTAATGAGAATTGGTTCCCAATGAAGATGAACAAGACAAAGAGGTAGGGTTTGAAAACAAGTTTTTACAGAGGAAGTCACAGGAGGTGTCTAGAACTAAGACCCTTGCACACACACACAGAGTGAGGAGCAGGTGCAGAGCTGCAGACGGTGTTTTACCATGGAAGAAAACATGCTGCTGGACATGGAGTGACCCTCATGAAAGAGCTACAAAACAAAAACAGACACCAACACATCAGACAGACAGCCATGACAGAACAGAACATAAACAAGGTTAAGTAACCCATCCCTGCAAAGACAAGAAATATGGAATAAGATCTGGTACTTGGGGAAAACTGCAACAGCCCCAGGCCTCTTCCAGCACTGCACTTCAGCTGACCTCAGGGCAGCTGCTGCCAATTCCCAGGGTCACCATGAGGCAGACCCCGCCAGGCCAGGAGCCTATTTGGCAGCCACAAGGTGCCCACACCATCCACTGAGCTCCAAGCATGGCCAGCACAAACCCTCACAGTTGAAGATCCATGCAAAAGCTTTCCTGTGACTCAGGGCTGGGAAAATACCCCAGGCTCTCCATTTCCATTCTCCATTCGCCCAGCAGCTTCTCTGCATGAGAAGGTCATCTTGCTGCTAGGCAGTGCTGAACAGCTGCAAGGCAAAACTTTTGCTGAAAAGTGGATGCAGCATCTCAGACCTCCCAATGCTTTTCTGTAACTGTCCACTCCAAGCCAGGCCTCCTACTTAAATGTCAACAGTTCAGACACAGGCAAAGGCTTGATGTTCAGATTCAAGAAACAACAGCAGCAAAGGACAGGGCTGCAGTTGCTCAGCAGCTGAGCTCTTGTGCAAGGAGATATTATTACAAGTACTTGAAGTGTTCCTTGTAACACAAAGCTGATTTCCCCCCCCCTCCCCGGTAAAATGACATTAAATTAGTATCTAGTGAATTATTCAGAGAATGCAGTGAGATGTGGCAGGAAGCAGTATGAATGGCAAGGTGGGTGGAACAAAAATAAATCAGCCAACTCCTCCTCTGTGTGAAATACCAAGCTTCCATCTAATGCAAAAGCAACTCAGGAACTACATTTCCAACCTCAAAAACCGTCCAAGTGTTTCAGCTCAGGCTCACCTCTGTATTTAAACCAAAATAATGCTGCCACCTGGTGCCTAGTCCCTCTTCCTTCCTGGAAAGGCCCTGAAGTCAGACACTATACGACTGCGAGCCCTGCTCAGACTGAACCCCCGAAGTCACTTCAGAGCCCCTGGACAGCAGCTAGCAGCACCTTCACAGCCACAGCCATACCATGAGCCTCGGCCACGACGATGCTCAGGTAGCAGCACGGCTCCAATACAGCAACCAGGTCTCATGAGACAGGTCATTTCACAGGTGCTTTTGCTTCCCTGCCTGATCATGTCCTATGAAGAATCATTAAGTGATCTTTACTGTGATCAAACACTCCATGTCAAGACCATGCAGAAATGCCACTCATTTCTGAAGGCTTATTGAGCAACTCTGTTTCATACAATCAAAGGAAAGCGCCAACTACTTTCTTAGAAACTTAGAGAAGTGGTCTCAGATTAGAGGAAACAGGCTTGCTCATTAAGATTTAAAAAATAGGTTTCAAATATAGGGCCCTTTGTGTTGGAAGGGACCTTTAAAGATCATGTAGTCCATGCCATGGGCACCTTCCACTAGGCCAGGTTGCTCAAAACCCTGTCCAAATCGGCCTTGAACACTTCCAGGGAGGGGCAGCCACAGCTTCTCTGGGCAGAAGTCTCACCACCCCAACTTCTCTGTTCGAGTCTCACCACCTTCACAATAAATTTCTTCCTTATATCTAAACTTACTGGCTTTCAGTTTAAAACCACTGCCCCTTGTCCTGCCACTACAGGCCCTGGTAAAAAGCATCTCTTCATCTTTATATATATATTGAAAGGCTGCAAGAAAGTCTCCCCAGAGCCTTCTCTTCTCCAGGCTGAACAACCCAAGCTGAAAAATACAGGACCATTCTTTTAAATGTATTTTATTAGACCCCTACCTTCCTATTTATCTAGAGCAAAAGAAAACTACTAATAGAAACACAGAGAAATCAAAAACACTCATTACAAAACCATCAGTTACATACATTCAGAATATTCTGATTGTGTTTTCTGTGATATCTCTCCATATACTCAGCTGCTGTGTAAATTAAACTACTGAACATAATTTTTTTTTTAACAATAATCATCCTCCATTCCTGAAGAAACAAAACAGGAAGAAAACAAACCATTTCTTTCCCAAGGGTATCTCTTCCAAAAGGCATGTGGACCACTTTAGCAACTTGGGCAGAGTACAAGAATGAACACTGTTTGCATGAAAGCTTCACTTTGTACATGTGACTTTTCTTTAGCTAAAGATGATAAAAGAACTGTTTTAAAGTTGATTCCATGAATGCATTAGAGTTTGTTCAAGTTCTCCTGTATCTAGCATGTGAAACACGAATAAAAAAGGAAGCATTTTTGGAGGAAACATCCCCTTATTGCCTATTTGGTGATCAGCTTTAAAACAAAGGATCTTTGGAAACTTCTGTCATTTACCAAGAATAAAACCACAGTTCCAGAACAGCTACATTTTCTGATGAGCATCGGCAGAAAACCCTCACCTGCTTCATCTCACTCTTCAGTTTAGTAATACCACTTCTTTCTGTTTTGGTTGCTCCAGAATGCCCCATTTCATGAATAGAAATCGCAGGGCTAGATGAAGAGGAATCTACAGGTCTCACTAGAAGAAGCAAATGGACATTTTTAAAATTCTAGGTGTAGAAAAATAGATTAAATTCTATCTAGAAGTTAAACACATCCTTTTGGAAATGTACAATGCTCTGGGTGACAGCATCCTTTCAAATCACATCAGTAGTTCAAACCTGACTGCATCAAGGGGCCTAGATCCATACTTGGATATCAGGGCTTGATTTTCCAAGACACTGAACAATTGTAGCTGTAAAAGATGTCAGAGTTGCAATGAGTCTGTGGGTGCCTAATGAACCCAGCAGACAGTTGACATGCCCATTGGGAATACCTGGGCAGCACAGACATGCTCCTTGAAGTCAGGTTAGATATGACCTTTTTATGGGTTTTATTCTGGTCACATAAAATTTTTTCATTTTAAAAGTTTCCCTTCATATAACTGAAAACTTGATAAAATCTTATTTCAGTGCAGGACAGCTTCCACTGTAGTTTTTTGGTTTATTCCACAGCAGACATAAACATGTACTGGCCACCCATGATTAATACATAATACATCACCTATGCCTCTATTTTACATGCTAAGAGGGTAGATTCCTACTTATACAACAATATACCACACTTACATTTTCACTTAACATATACAAGTACCCAGGTGGACAACTTACAGCTTCTTTCCACTCCAAACTCTTTTCCACTGAGAATATGGTGTAGGAGATTTTTCATATCAAAGGGGCTTAGATTCATCAAACTCTCTGAAGCTTCTTCACCTAGTAAAAAAAAAAAGAAACAAACATGACTACAGGTGGCTTTATAGCTTGTTTTCCTAAGTAAATTGCTGGTGAATGAAGTTCCATCACATTTACCTATGTGGCTAATGCTTCCTTTAAAAAAATGAATACGTAGACTCACATTTCAAAGAAAACACATTTCAGGACTAAACAACAAACACTGCATGGAAATAACACTATTTGCATTAGCAAATATTATGTTGCAGTGTGTATGAAATTTCTCACTGAAGCTGATGGTGAAAGGTGAGAAAGGAGCTGCTTTGTTGCAGAGCAAGGTCACCTGGAAAGGCATTACAGCCAGCTCCCAACAGCAGATGACATGCAGATCTAAATTACGCTACCAGAGTTATTCTATAAAAAATGCATGCGTGTGGAAGGCTTGTGTTTTATTTGATTAAAGGATCATGATTGTAAGTGAGAGATAGAAGAAGCACATACATACACGTGAGCACACATGCGCGCACAGACAAATCTCCCACAGAACATGGGAAGGCAGCAAGGAAGCTGAGGGCAGTGTACAAAGCAGTTAGGAATAACAAAAGGGACTCCAGGAAAGACAGGCTTTGCCCTGTGAACAGAGCAGCTCCTGCTATTCAGCTACACGTTTGGGGGAAACAGGGCTTTCTGGACACTCTTCACACAGAAACATAATTATTCCAGAAAATTACTTATCTCCTTTTGTCAACGTCTAAGGGAGAAACCTACTACCCGCCGGTGACAGCGAGCCTCTCAAGTCAGAGAGCAGCAGCGTCCTAAGTGGGCTCCACCTAACCAACTACCAGGGACCACACACCCTCCTCATTCCACAAGGGAGAAAATCGCGGTGACCAGAAAATATCCTTCCACAAAGTTACCGCCCTTTAGGATGTGCTTGTGTTAGAAATGGCAGCAAGGCTGTGCCACAAAAATGTGGCCCAGATCATGCTCTTAAGTGTCAGCATTTGACTATATATTTGTGGCATTAACTTGGTTACTTTTCATGACTGCTTCTTCCAATGGGGAAAATTCTTCAGCAATTTTTCTGATCTCTCTTCAGTCACAATTTCTCTATAGTTTCACTTTTCTCTTCCAAAAAGATTTTTATAATATTTCTGCTTTGCATCACTTGTTTGTTACTTACTTCTTGAGTTTTTGTGGAGCGTATGCAACATCTTTGTGGTCTGTAAAAATTTTTTTTTTTACTGACTTCCTGGCAAAATAACATATCACTATCTGAAATCTAAACAGCAAGTAGGTTTCAACTAAGCGTATTCAAGGAGAGAAGGCTCACACATAAAAGGAAGAAGATCAGAAGTTACTTTGAATAAAAACTACCACAACTATGAATTAAGGCTCAAATATTCAGAAGATATGCAGGGCCCTAATTCTCACTGACCTTAGTGGCACTGTGTCCCTAAATACACGCACATGTGCAATTTGATGACCTGGACCTCAAATGTTTACTGCAAGTCATGGGACTTAAGTATTTAATATCCACTTCAGTTTGAATAACTGGGCGATGGGGGGACAGGAATCTTTCATTAAGTCAAAGAGAGAAGTTATTTTCAAAGTTTGTAACTGTGCATGCTGAATGAAGTTAATAAAAGGATTTAACATATATAAATGAAAAATCAACCAGTGAGGTGAAGCAGAAATCATGCCTTAAGTACCCTTATGATAAAACTGCTCTTACCTGAGCATTTCAGACTTCGAGCCAGCTCTGTGGCCATCACCTGAATTATCAGACCAATGCGGAGCCTGAGCATCTCCACAAAAAGACTAGGCTGTGACCGGACGTACATCGCCAAGTACATAATTATTTCCTGTAAGGACAAATCCATAAGGGCACCCATTCAGAATGGGTCTTCTTGGCTTTCGCAGCCACAGAGCAAGCACTGGCACCACACTGGGTGCTGCTGAAAGAACCCTTTGTAGCTGTGCTGCATACCTGTGTCAGGACCGCAATACTGATGTCTTGGCCACTGGCTTCGTAAATAAGATCTATGAGCTCCTCAGGTGGCAGTGGGCTGCAAGAAGGCAAACCACGGTGAGCAGTGACTCAGGCACCTGCTAATAACCTCTTGAACAAGCACTGGAATAAAGTCACCCAGAAACATCTTTGCACCACAAAGGTGCCTACGTTTCTGCCTGGGTGGCTGCAATTCCTTCTGAAGGTGAGAAGTAAGTTTTAAAACAAGACAACAGCATCAGAACAGTACTGGCAGGAAGATGAAGGGCAGGCTGCTTCTGTAACTGAAGCAGAGCTCCAACTTACGTGGTAATGATTTTCTCACGGGGTTCTGGTGGCAGGCCCACTGTCAGTTGCTTGTGGTGCGACAGGAGGTCTGTGCATGCCTATCACAATGCAACAGAGAGCAAGAGACCTTTCTCTGAGTCATGTGGAAGTGATACAGCTTTTAAAGTCCCCAAAATGAAGCATTTTTTTAGCAATTTTAAAGTGCATTTCTATTAATTACTAGACATGCAGATCCAGCAGAATGATGCTGATTAGTTGCCAAAGGTCCCCTAAGGTCAACAGAGCCATGAAAGTCTGCCCCAGGCTGAAAGCCTGCTTCCCCTCAGTGAAATCAGCAGCATAATGATTAGTGACTCCAGTAGGGCTGGCAGATCAATAAAGGACTTTATCCTTTATCATAAAATAAATGTTTGTTTTTTATTTAAGACAAAAAGCATTTTTAATCAATGAAAAACTTGGCAGTATTAGCTAAAAAAACAAACCTGCATAATATATCTCTTAAAACAAACAAAGCCCGAACATATTGCATCACATTCCTGAATTAGGCACCCTGATGCATTCTGAAGTAGGTGCTTCCCCCAGTACCATAGTGTTTACTCTTTTAGATCAACCTCCTTTAAAAGTGGGTGTTCAGTTTATGTGTTTTAGCATCCTGAATGAGAGACTTCAGAGCAATGTTCCTCTGATTTCAGAGTCTGTTTTCCCTCCCTTAACATGGAACAAAACTCTCTTCCTCCCCAATTCTTTGTCAGTGTCTTCTCAATTTAACATACGTGGCTTTCTGTGATCATGCCTGTACTGCTCACCCATCATGTGTTGAGGATGGAGAGGTTATGCACTTAATGAGGTACCATGCAGGGTGATTATCACAAATTGCTCCCCGCAGATATGACTGTCACTAAAACGGGGCATCCTAGGTGTGACAGTCAAAGCTTTGAAAATGGCCATGAATTAGACAAAGAGCTCTTCAGAAATATGCAGTGAAACGAGGAAATTAAATAAATAATTTAGAGCACTTGAGAGGAAACATCTTTGTAAAGTTCAAAATCAAATCTGTACCCTTACAGTGGATCTTTCCCCTTACCATGTAATAGTCTCAGATATTTTAATGCCTCTGAACATCCACTCACATGGCAGACTGTCTGCCCAATGGGATGGTGTGGTGGTTTAGGCCCTGCCAGGACCTGAGACCACGTTGCCGTTGTCCCTCCCCAACCCTCAAACCGGACAGGGCAGGGAGTGAGATACAAACCCCAGGGTTGATATAAGGAAAAATTTAATACAACAGTGTAACAAATAATAAACCAAACAATGACAATATCAATAACAATAAGCAGTAATAACAATGAACAGGACAAGAAATATACAAAGATATACCACAAGAATAGAGAAGCAAAGGGGAGCGAAGACAAACAAAAGCTGTCGCTGCTCTTCCCGCACTTGGGTGCCCGGACCTGAGGTCAGTATGGTATTGAATAACCCGGCTAGTGCTCCCTCCCCACTGCTGGGGAAACTTAACCCTATCCTAGCTGAACCAGGACAGATGGAAATCGGCAGGGCATGGTTTTGAATCATTGCCAGCACCTTGACTGGTGCACCAAAACTCTTCATGCTATCACAATAGCAACAGACAATAACCAATGACAACTACAGCCTTCAAAGCACACAATTAAGCTTCTCCAATGAACAGAGATGAGACAAAGCCTTCACAATCATTTACAGTGTGACATTCTCAGGCCATGCCAACATTAGCACAGGTTTCAGTACAGATGAAAGGTAAAGATGTCGTAATAAGATTTTTAGATCAGAAAAGCAACTAATGTTTACTGAGAAATGCTGCACTGTGTATGTTGTGAAGACCAAAAGAGCAAGCACAAGCCCCACCAGCAAACTGGTAGTTTTATCTCTGTTTCGAGGCAGGAAACTGAACCAGCATTATTTATATTACATACCTCAGCCAGGACTTCCACTCTCTTTTTGAGTATACCAGAAATATAACGGATTAAACCCCACTCTTGATTGAGGCCTGCCTTTCTGTAGAGCTCATTGAGTAGGCAATGAACAGTGACGCCGTACTGTCCATCCAGCTCTGTGTCCCAGTCAGCACCCCTGCCAGAAAAGACACAAAAGGTAACAGTCATCAGTTAAAATGCTACACTGCTTAACCTTACCACACAACAGGCATCCTGATTTTGATCACATTGCCCATTTTGGTAACAGAATTTAGTAGTACATGGGACATGGGTCTTCACCAGTGATCGGTTATAGGTGGACAAAACCCGCTGGATACCAGGAATTTTCATATTAACTTGAGCACTCACTTAGCCATGAGACTGTGACTTCAAAGCAACCATCCAAAGGATATGCAACAAGACACTGAGCATAAACACAGACACTTTGCTGGAGGAAGGATCCATGTGGTACCTTTTCAGAGCAGAATTCAGCAATGTCTTCAGCACTGCTGAAGACTGCACCCATTTTTCAGATGCCTCAGGGGCATCATAAGTTTTTTGCCGTGCTTCTTTCATAGCTATTAACTAAGCTTCCATGCTGCTCATGCCATTACTGAAAAAGCAAAGAAGATTTCTGTTCCTCCTCTGGTTTTGAAATTCACTGCGCTATCACTTCTCTTTGATAATGTTTTGAAGCATAAGAATGACCTTTCACATCCTACTGGAGTGACAGAGTCCAGCAGAAGACCACCTGCCTGCGCAAAAGAGACTGATACAAGTCAATAGCGTGGCTTGTATCAGAAACAGTGTAGCCAGCGGGTGTAGGGAAGTGATCTTACCCCTGTACTTGGCACTGGAGAGGCACCACCTCGAATACCGTGCTCAGTTTTAGGCCCCTCACTACAAGAAAGTCACTGAGGTGCTGAAGCGTGTCCAAAGAAGGGCAATGAAGCTGATGAAGGGTCTAGAGCACAGGTCTTGTGAGGAGCAGCTGAGGGAACTGGGGTTGTTTAGCTTAAAGAGGAGGCTGAGGGGAGACTTTATTGCTCTCTACATCTACCTGAAAAGAGGTTGCAGAGAGGTAGCTGTTGGTCTCTTCTCCCAAGTAACAAGTGATAGAATAAGAAGAAACAGCCGCAAGTTGTGCCAGAGGAGGTTTAGATTAGATATTAGGAGAAATTTCTTCCCTAGAAGGGTTGTCAATCATTGGACAGGCTGCCCAGGGAAGCAGTGGAGTCACCATCCCTGGACGTATTTAAAAGACATGGAGACGTGGCGCTCTGGGACATGATTTAGTGGTAGAATTGGAAGTGCTGGGTTAACGATTGGACTTGATGATCTTAAAGGTCTTTTTCAGCCTCAATGATTCTATGACTCTATGACTCCCATAGTGAAACAAGTCCAGAACAGGCAATTAACGGTTCTACATTTAATTAAACTAAAAAATGATATTTTTTCAGGATTTCCTTTGCTCTTGAAGAGACGCTGCTAAAAATTTTACTTGGGAAATCAAGATAAAAAAAACCCTGGTCCTCACAGGAGAAAGACTAAAATACAATCTTTGTAGCAGGAAGGAAGTCCATTGGTGATGAACAAATGCTTGTTTTTGCACCCAAAGCTAAATTCCTGACAGGTTCTAGCAGTATTCTCCTGCACAGGGAAAAAAGACCTGTAATTGCACTCTAGAAAATGATTCCATTGGTTTTTATTTGCATTTTGTTCCCATCAAATTTATTTAAATAGCAGCTGTTTAACCAGCCCCAGCTGCTGGGGTTAGACTGTTTCCAAGAAAGTTCTGAGAGCACCAAGTTTTAGCCAGTGGTTCACTTAAACATGCAGAGGGATTAGAGGGAAAATATTGACTACTCATTCAAATTGCATTTTGCCTTTGGTTAGAAAATGACAAAATGAAGTTTCCCTCCACTTCTTGTGTACAAAAATCACACCAAATCTTTGTGAATTTAATAGAATGCCACAAATACTGCAAGGTGTGTTCTCATTCATGGAAAGGATTTGTGCATTTCACTTCTGAGCCTTGGAGCCTGTATGTATTCACAACTGTGTGCCAATCAACTCTGAAATTTGCACAAATTATTTTTTGTGTCCAAATTATTTATGTAATTAAGGTAACTGAAAATACACTTGTTAAAGCATAAAACATTTTAACCTCTTCCCTCAAAACACAACCCTGAACAGTGGAAAGCTTTTACACAAGAATAATCAGATAGCTTTGACAAAACTTAAAGGTGATGAAGTTTATACTCAGACAACTCACTTTAATATATGCAAGATATATAAGATATCTGCTTGATCATGGAGCGTTGGACATTCTTTCAGCTGCTCAACAAGCTTCCTGCAATCCAAATCACCATGTGCATCTTTAGGTAAGTGCAAAACATTTTCACGGTCCTGATAACAAAGATGGATGATTCAAAGAAATTATCTTGAAAAAAGTAACAGATGATTCAAATCATAACTACGCATTAATACAACAGAATTACAACATACCTCTGCACCTGAAATACAGACACATCACATATTTCTTGCCAGACTACTGCAGACATGAAAAGGAGACTAATCCCAGGAAACACAACACCCAGAAAGGAATTTTGTCTCTAGTTTTGGTTCAATGAACAAGCCAAGCCATTTTTAGGACAAAACAAATATATTTTTATGCTTTTCCTGTCATCTGCTGTTACTTGTAAAGAGAAAGGGGAATACTACCTTTTTTTAAGTTGAAATAATTTAGACCTTTTTCAGTTCCATCTCTAACCTGTATATATGTGATGCTTTATGAATACAGCTGTTGACATCATAAATTTTCCAGGCTTATGAAACTAACACACTAACTAACCAGATGATGCAATCCCGTGGTGAGTTTTTGGATGAAGAAAAGTTTTGTTTAATAAGCTTTTCAAAAATTTATATGGTCCTAAAATTTCATTTCCACAAACAGAGCAGAATCCCTCAGGAGGCTGGATACAACCTCCTGTAAGCATTCTCAGCAGCTGGTCACACATACAAAGCAAGTGCCAGCACAACCCCTTCTTCATGCCTTGTAGTGGGATCTGGCTGGTGCCTTAAGGATGTCTGTCCTTTCACACACTCCCCTCCTGCCCAGACATTAGTATAAGTAGCATTTCTTGGAGAACACTTCTAAAGGTCATGCACATCCCACCCTTCTCTTTGCGTGTCCATTTAGAATTAAAGATTGGCCTCTAAAAATAAGCACCTACTATATTATTTTCTGTTTTGCACACACAATTAAAAACTTTCCACTTGATAATGTCTATTTAAGCAAAAAACCTTCACCCAGCCAAAAATAAATTCCAAAACAAGGGAGTAGCTATCCAGTGTCTCAGGCAGCATGGCTTGTCTGTGAAGGAAAATAACAACTAGCATAGGGTTTTCCTGGGAAACACAGGAAAGGCCACAGTATTGCATCCTAAAACCACAAACAGCATAAAAATTCCCACATCTTACCTTTGTCTCAAAGAAATGAGGATTATCAACAAGATTCAGAGACTTCCGGTGTGTGTTCAGAACTTTAGTGGGAAGGGACATAGACACAGCTGAAAGCAAAGCAACCAGAAAAAAAGAAAAAAAAGGTCCGTTTCAGTAACATGAAAACTGGAAACACCTACATGAAGCAACTGCATGAGGCAAAACCAACAGAAATACCTCCAAGAGTCAAAATATAAAGGCAACGCTTCTGAGATGCTGGAATTCAGAGACAAGCTCACATTCTGAACCTTATCTCCGCGCATGCTTGCTCCAAGAGCTTCTGAAATCACCATGCCAAAGGTTCAGGTGCTATGTGCTCAACTGATACCTCTCATGATAGCCCATGCCTCAGCCTATAGCCCAATGACCTGACCCTGCTAACTGTTACAAACATTTTAACAGGAAGTATATGGATAAAATGGTCTAACTGGTAAGATATCCTAATTAAAATGATAACGGTAAATGCAGGCTAATGCTCTCTTAACCTCTTATGTTGAATTCAATAGAGGATCAGATGATGGGAGAAAAGACTAACAAAAAGTCTTGGAAGTTATTAATTTACACTGAACTTAAGTAAAGTATTCCCATAACCAGGACATTAAGTACTATATACCTACATATAAAACATGCATATGTTGGAATCTATTTACAAATTCAAAGCATTATTTTAGTGTAAATCCTCCAATCAGTCTATTAGAAATGTAGCATAATTAGGAATACTGTTGTCCCTCTCTACTTCATTTGTTCTTACACATTTAGAAAGTACATGTACATACTTATGTTTTTCTGGTATTGAAATGTTTCATTCCACCACAACTTTATTAAACTAAGAAATATTTTGTATAAACAAAGACAAAATATAGAATTCACTGACTCAGGTGCTAAAATTCTACTCAAATGAGAAGCTGTAGCTGTTTCCATAACATTAACTTTGATTAAATATTACATTTTATAGCAGGTTATTTATGTATACACCAAGACATGGGATACTGTGGGAACACGACAGTAACAGCTTGAAACTCATTCTTATTTCTTGATAACCACAACATACTCGTGCCACAAGTTCTTTTTAAACAGCAGAATTTTGAAATACTTGAACTTAGCCCTTGTAGCACCCAAACCAGGTTTTCTATTACTATGACTAAATAATAACAGGGAGAAATACCTGGAACCTCCAAGCCCTTTGTCTTGGCCATTATTGACAGTATCTCTTTTGTGGAATGGTTTGCACTGAACACAGATGGTTGATTCACAGTCTTTGAAGTTGGAGGCAGGTATGACCTCAGTGCTGTACTCTGCAGGACATCATTTATATACTGATCCAGCTCATCCTGGCTTTCTAGCGTAACATACGTAAAAGAAAAGGTTTATTAAAGGTAAAATTATAATTTATCAGTGCTTTCTTCTTTCAGACATTCTAATATAGAAGGACATACAAAAATGGAAGAATACCATAAGCAAGAGATTTTTAAGCTGAACAAATTGGAAAGAAAAAAAATTAATCAGTTTTTGATACTTTGAAAACCGTTACATTAAAAAGTTGTTTTTCCCTTTGAAAGGAAGTGAAAGGGTTTTTATCTTGCTGGTAGTCCACAGATCACGGTTGGACTCAATGATCTTAAAGGTCTTTTCCAACCTCAATGATTCTATGATTCTATCAGCTCTTCAACACAAGCTCTTGTCTATAACTCCTTACAGTCTCTTCCTCCTTCCAGCCTCTTCCACACAATCCCTATCTGCTGACTATTCAGACTCTGCTTTACTGTAGCAGTTACTGGTCAATGCATACTATAAACATAGGAAGAATATGCACAAATACCTTCTCCAAATTAAGTCATGCAGGTACTGTCCTCAGACTGATGCATGAGAAACCTGAACTACTATCGACTGCACACAAAATAGACAGCACTTGTAGGTGAACCCAGGCTCTGCTGATAGAACCTGACAGAGAAAAAATTTGAAGTGAAAAAACACTACCTCTTTCACAGAAATCTGCTGGATAGCCTCCATATTCACTGTCAGGACTATTACAGCCTTCATTAGGGTCATCAGACAGTTTTATGTCACAGTCTGGATCCAGGAAGCTCAAATACGTATGAAAAGAGGTGGTAAGAAATTCTGATAGCTTGCCTATCTTCACCCTGCAAATAGGAACATGTCAGAAAGTGTTACATCCACCACTTTCATACTGATTAATGCTCACTGAGCTTTCAACAACTCCTCCAAAATTTATGAGACCTACTGTTAAATTCACCTTTGATAACCACAAAGCAGCAGATACTGATACTAAGAAAAACAAACACAAAACAATAGTTGCCAATCCAGCTGAGTACTTACTGCTCCAGCTACTAATTGAACTTAACTGTGTTATGGTAACGCCTACAGGCCTAACTCAAAGCCTAATTATGCAGGGTGCTGTATGTCTATAAAGAGAGAATATGAACAAAGACGTAAACTCCAAGGATAATGCATGAAGAACTGGGGCTGAGAAGTTCCCATTAAGAACAGTACCTTTTCACAGAACTGCAGTGTTGCTACAAAACAGAAAGCACATCTGATCGTCAGAGGAAGATACTGATTAAGAGTGGGCAAGCAGAAAGAGACAAGGGACATACTGTAGCATCATACTAAACTGCTTTCATATGTAGGTGAATGAAACACATAAGCTTACAAGATACTACATGTAATTCATGTTTACAACATGTCCAATAACTGTGAAAGATAATTACTTCTTAAAAACAGAAGCCCAGCCAAGACAAGTTTTTTGTATTTCCAAAGGTCTGACATTTTTTTTCTCTTATCCATTAATGGCGGTCAGAGATGGAACATCTCTTGGGGGATAGAACTTTCACACTGCATGTGAGGTCCAGCTACCACCTGATTGCCACATAATAATTAAAGCTGAAACTTGTCTCTCTGCAGAGTTCCAGCACAAGGTCTGTACACTATCACAAGTGCAGAACTGAAACTTGTAAGGATTTAATTGAAAAATCACGGAGAGACCCATTTGAGGGTTCTGACATTACCTTGCACCTCCAAAATAACCATCCTCTAATTTTCTTATGGTGGCAAGAACCGCTGGATGAATGTCAGTACCATCATCAACTAAAAAAGAATAATGGAAGAGTTGAAGCTTACCAACACATTCTTAAACTATCATCTCCAAATAAACTGTATTACTGGGTGTTCTCTCCAAATAAATCAGACAAATTTAAAATAGAACAGACAGCTGTTATCAATACTAACTTATTGAAAAAACCCCAAACAAACAAGCAAACAAAAAACAACCCACTCCAGACAAGTTCCAAGGCATTTCTATCAAATTTCTTTGCATAGAAATAGTGTGGAGATGATGGGGAGATGAAAGGATATAAAGAGGGAGTAAAACCAAAATTAAATCATCTAAATTCAGCATATACTTGGTAAACTGTACTTCTGATGTTAAAACTCATGCCACCTCTCTCCCCTCAGACCAGCTTCCATCCTACTCCTCTGCAGTAATCTACTCTGCTTGAAACAGAGAAAATTAAGTTTACCAAGCATTGTGTGGGTAATAGGAAACGTCAGGGTTGGTCTCCCTGTCATCCTCCAACAAGAAGTGAGGTAAGCCAGCTCTGTCTTGAGCATCTCCACAATCATCTGATTGTCTAGAGCCAGATAGAAGTGATGCTGGTCAGTAAACTAGAGAACAGAGAAATATGGCATATGAGTAGTTGACAGTGCTCTCATTTTTTTCCATCTCCTCCCTTAAATCATTCACAAAAGCTGTATGAGCTATTCTTGACTACAACATAAACTGCATGAATTAACCACACAAGGCCTGCGACTGTGAAAAAGAAACCCATCCTTGTGCAGAGTCCATTTTCTTACACTTGTAGGCTGACCATAAAGAAGCCATACAAATGAAAAAGCAGATAATCACACCCACAAAGTAGAATCTTCCCAATGCTGAATTACAGTAACCTATGATCTGGAAGTACACTAAATGTGGAAGAAAAAAAAAAAAAATAGCAACAAAACCAATAAACAGTCTCAAGGGCATGCTGGGGGAGCTGAAAACCAAAAAATCCAGACAAACAATGGAAAGTATGTCAAAGCAGGCCCAGCAAAACTTAAGGAAGCACCTAAACCTTGGGGAGGGGTGGAAAAAGGAGGCTGGGTTGTAAAATAAACATCATTAGTAAGACACACAGGGGTCAAGGAGAAATTCTGTAAAGGCATCAGAAGTAATAGGAAAACACAGAAACTGTACATCTGTTAAGAAAGAAAGGAGGTAGGAAGAGAGGACACAGGCAAGCTGAAGCATTCTATGCTGGTTTTCACTAACAGAAGTAGCAAATTATGACCTGTAATAGTACTTTTTAACAAAGCAAGAAGAGTTCAGTCTGAGTATGGGAAGAAAAGGTTGAAGAGCACATAAATTCAAGCTGGCAAAGTCCAAAGAAATTACTTCACAGAACCAGCCAAAACAGTCCCTGAGCCACCCACAATTAGTTTTGATAATTCAGGAAGAACAAGTTAGAGAAATCAAGAGAGAAGCAAACATACTGTCTGTCTTTAAAAAGGAAGAGCCATGATAACATATATCTGTCAAGCCAATTTCAGTGCCTGAAAGCACAGGAAAACAAAGCCAATTTGAGACTGCCAAGATAATTACAAAATCATAAAGCAAGATGGCCAAACAGTCATATCAAAAACCAATCTCAGCAAAGGAGTCCATTTTCTTTCTTTGGGAGCAACTGGATAATAGCTGCTAGAACATGGCTGACATCTCTAAACTTCTGTAAATTTTCACACTAGTGAGTTGAAGAAAAAATATCTCAGGAAGCAGAACTGCTTGAAAAACTGTTCTCAAAAGGTAGTTTTTAACCGATTTTTTTAGAACAAGAGGTTACCTAAATGCAGTCAGCCTTTGCCCCACACCTAATCAATGTTCTCATTAGTGAACAGGATGAAATACAAACTACAAATCCACAAAATTTGTGGACATTAGTCAAGATCAACACAGATGAGTTAACTGCTAGCGTTAGGAAGGCGAAATTAAACATTAATTCCATCCCCTCAAAAAAAAGGCAGGGGGAAATATCTGGCTACAAAGTACAACAGAAAATGTTATGGAGGGTTTAGTCAAACACAGAATAAGTAGGAACTGTCAGTGTGTTGCTAATGCAAAGATAAATGCTCTTTTGGAATATATTAATACATACTTGATACATGGCAAAATTTCAGCTGTAATACTGGGTCCTACTTACAAAGTAAGATGAGGACAAAGACATATTTTGAAAAAAATCACAACTCCGAAGTTTTCCCTAATCTGTGAAAGTGAAAACTAGTGTGGGGAACAACACAACAAATAGCCTGTTACAAAGCTGCTTGTGATCAATTGATATGGGGAAGAATGGGAAGGGATTCACATTTTTTGCAATAAATCTGATGTTTGGGCATTATGAACCACTCCAGAAACCATCTGTGGAGTCCACTGAATGTCTTCCACTGGAATTTAAGACTACATTAATCAAGCATGTATTTAGGAGGGTATGAACATTCTTTATTCTGCTCCAGTTGCACATGTGTAGAGCAGGTGACCCCTTGGTCTTCTAGTACCAACTGCTAGAATAAGTCTACAGGAATGTGTCGTATTTCATTAAATGTATAAAAACAAGAGCCATTAATTCTGGAAAGATCCAAACTTCCAGCTACATTGAAAAAGGCATTAAACAGAAAACAAAGACAGAACATCCCTTTCTCAGCACTACTGACCCTTTCAACAATATAATGAAAAGATTACATCTTAGTCCCTTGGGGATTACAGTACTTGGCACATTTCTGTGAAACTAAATTTTTTATCAAAGCAATCAGTAGAAGGATATATTAAGTGAACTATTTCTGGAGAAACATATTTCATTAGCTAGAATGTTGGTTTGGGCAGAGATCACTAACAACTTTGTACTATTGATTTGCTGTGTTCTCCTATGCCAGAAGCCAAAGCAGCCAGACTCTGTATGACAGAAGAGAGATTTATCAGCACTCCTACCATGCTGATCATCCAACGCTCTTAAAAACCCCACAAAGCAAAGCACATCTGCTTTATCAGCCCTGCTCTACCTAAAGTAAAGTGACAGCACCTAAAAGCTAAGTGCTTCACTAATCATTAGCCATTAAGTAAGCAGTGACTTCCCTGCCAGCTTTACATCCTCACCTGAGGGGTAAAAGCAAATATTTGATTTCTTATCACGTACAGCTTGGAGGTGCCTAACACTCCAATATGTCGGTGTGGCCGTCCACTTAATTTCATGTTCTTGTTCCGGCCTGTAAAGAAAAGAGAAAGGAAGAAAAGTCTCACCTAACATTTCCTGTGCGGTTTTCCACAACAACCACTTTAGACAAGGAAATCTGCTTCATTGATACCAGCAAGACAGAAGACAGAAAACAAAGCGAGGTGCTACAGACTGGGCCATTTTGCAGCAACCACCAATATAACAGCTAGAGTTCTTCAAAGCCATGATAAAAAATAAAAATTTTGGCTTCACTGACCATGGGATCAGGTCTTTTAATTACAGTCATTGCTTAGCACTCAAAGCTTTCCCACCAAGAAGGACAGGATGTATGCCCTTTCAAAAACAAGGCCATCAACACAGAACAGGAACTGCAGTGCTTTCACTCTAGAACCTTACAAATTCTTTCCCACAGGTGGCTACATCCAAATACAGAGACAGATTTTCACTCTTTCATCAGGCTATTATGCTTCACTCTTTCAGTGGAGCTTATTAGCAAATGATCCTCACTTGCACCCTCTGCTCCAGCAGCCAGTAGCTGACTTGAATCTCTCTGACAAGGAATGAGCCAAGCAACCACATGCCTGAAAAAATGCCACTGTGGACATTCCCAAAGGAATCACTGTTAAAAACAATACACCAATGTGTCTAATCATCCTACTCACCCCACCACTAGTGAAAAAAAGCTATAATGAATAATTATGAAATAAATGTAAGCTTCAGCAAAGCCCTCCAAATGTTTCATTTGTTAAAAGTTCTTTGTGATAAAGATTCTTTTCCAAAAGCAGCATATGCTATTTCCCTTATCCATCTAAAGGGCACACTTTCTAAGACTTATTTGCAGACCCCATTACTTTGGATGCTTCCAAAAAACTTCCTGTTAAAAAAAAACAAAACAAAAAAACAAAAACCACCACCACAACAACAACAAAAACCCCAAACCCGTCCCATGAACAGCCTCATACTCTCTCTCAGCATTACCTGTAACCCAAATAGCATGGGAACGTGCTCCAGACTGACAAAGCACGATACATCTCCCCTTCTCCACGCTGCAAAGGAATCTACCCTTGCTGATTCACCCCACCTCATTTTACTTTGCAGTAACATCCACAGCTTTGAGTCATGAGTTGATGGCAGGCTTGAAGTAGTAGAACACAGTTCAGTTAGGCATACATGCTACAGATTTTCCACGAAGAGCCCATTCATTCCAGCAAGGATTATCAAAAGAGATGGTTATCAAAAGATTTTCAACAACTAGAATGAACCAGTTGGAGTTTTGGGGCATTTAATCAATCCAGCTGCCAGGCTCTGGGGAAAACAGGCCTCTACGGTCACTGCTGAGGAACTGGAATGTATTTCAAGTCCCAAAAAGCCCTAAAGGTTTCTGGATTTGCAACAGAGAGCTTCAGCAGCTCAACTCAGCTCAGGGTTGGAAGATGTGTTAGCAAGAACCTGACAAACCCAGAGATGCTCTGATAGCAGCACAGCTTCCCTAATGTGAGCAGAAAACTTCCAAGGCTGTCTGCGGGTAGAATGGCAACCACACTGCTCAGTTTCCAGACTTAAACCAGAAGTACTCTGACTTCTGAAAGGAAAAACATTTGGGTTTTTTCTGTGGTTTTCCAGGCATTTTTTCTAAAGCCAGTTTCTCTATGGAAGTAGTTCCTGCAGGACAAAAAAAGAGTCAGTTCTTGCCTAATTCCAAGGGCAGAGGAAAACTTATATTTTGGCCACCTTCTCTAATGAGGCAATTTTTTTTTCCTGTTGGATTCCCCTATTTAAGACAGAAGCTCCAATTTTGTTAAGTTTCTTTGCACAAATGCATTTTCTTCATTCAAAGAAACTGATTTAAATAAAAGAAATTAAATCAAAGAAACTGAGACAGTGTAAAGCAAGAAAAACAAAACCCAAAACACTACACTTAAAAAATACCTTACACATTAGTAGAGAGACTTCCATTTTCAAATACCTACCCAGCATAGTGTAGAGGTTACTCAGGATGCGAGCTGGCTGCACTCTGAGCGGATGGATATCAGCAATACTCTGAACACTGATTCCATGGTCTTGCAAGAGATTCTTAATTTGATTAGATTCTGCCAAAACAGTTACTGCATAACAAAAAACAAAAACACTAGTAAGAAGCAATGTTCTACTCTTTCTAACTGACTGCCTCTACTATCACCTCTCAACTAATGCATTTAGGTCTCACTTCTCTCTTAATGCACAAAGACCTCACTTCTGTCTTAATTTACAAGCTTGTGAGATCAAAAGGGATTGCAAGAGGGCATCAGACAGTTTTTGGTGCTCTGCTTCTCAACATGTCTTGCCATTCCTGCCCACTTTGGACCACAGGATAATTCAAGTTGGAAGTACTGTCACAAGGTCTCTACTCCAACCTCCTGCTCAAAGCAGGGTCAGCTCTGAGGTTAGACCAGGTACTCTAGGGCTTTATCAGTTTCTTCTGATTTCTTTCAGTAACGCTAGTTTGAATCATGCAGTCTGTTTTAGCAGATAGGGCTTTTCCCTCATAAAACAAGGAGAAACATGACTTGAAAATCTTTGTTTTAATACAACACGCTTTAACAACACAGCCAAGTCAATGGGGAATAGGTGCTGTTACTTATATAGCAATAAATGTTAAAGAGGCCATAAAATGGCAGAGCTAGGGGGGGAAAAAACAAAAAAGAGTCTCAAAATCAGAGGAATCTCTAAATCAGAGGAATTTACAATCCAGGGCCTGATTCCACCTTCTGCCTTGCTTGAGGTTTTGCCCATGTTAGGTGGCTTATTGGTTTGGGACTAGTAATTCAGTATTCTTTTTTGCATTATAAATACTTGTCAAAGAATGCTAAAAATAAAGAAGCACTTCTATTTCTACTAGAAATTAAGCAGTTCAGAGTAACAAAATGCCACCCCCATGAGACACCAACAGGGGTTAAACCAGCACCTGCCCAGGTCACAGTATCTTTGACAATGGCTGCCCCTGATAAACGAGCTGGTTGCTCTTCCAGAATGGTACAGGCCCTTGAAAAGCCTTTAAGGCCTGATCAGTTGCTGTTTTGTTTGTGCCCTACTTAATTTTCTGGTTTTGGCTGTTCCTGCACTGACTAAAGAAGCCACTCCCCACAGCAGCCAAAAGAGAGCCATAAGTCTGGCTCGTCACCTTTGTGTACAGAGATCATCCCCACTTGTTGCTCTCTGGTTCCTGTGAAAAGGTGCTGCACAAAAACCTAGCTAAACTGACCTGTCTCCTGTCAGCTCTGCTCTTTCTTACTAGAATCCAACAATATTTCTCTTTTTACTAAAAGATTTAGTTTGCCACTCTCCAGTCCCTGACGAGTCTTAAAATTTTAACATTTTTTTTTTTTTTTTTTAAAAAAAGTCTGCTAAACCTGATCTTCCCTCCTGGAAAAAGGCAGCTGGGCAAACAACCCCTTTCTCCTTCTCACAGTATCATCAAAGCATCTACATGCCATGCAAAAAACGACATTATTTTTAAACATGTCTTTCTTCTCTCCTGTACATAGGGACTTCACCATAACATGATCCAATTCACTCAGAATGTTTAAAAAACTCCTTTACCTTGTACCACAACATCAGGTTTAAATCCAGTGGAAAACCTCCTGTTTAAGGGATCAATTTCACCTGCAGCAAGAAATCCCTAGAAAAAATGTTAAAGAAAGAAAAAGAAAAGAAACAAACAAAAATTAATTAAAAGGCTTCTGACGACATCTAGAAGAAATCTTAACCAAATTTTGTATTTTATCAGGACACATTTATCTCCCCCATCCACTAAGTAGTGCATTCAATAAAAACAATGGCTTCAGTATTTTTTAGAACAACAAGAAAATGGTTATGACTGACACAATCTGCTTGTTCAGATTTCCCATTAGAGTTGCAGCAACTGACACAATTTTGCCAGGCCAGTGATTTTTTCTGTAGCTCCACAGAGATATTCAGTGGTTCCTTTAACAATCCATGGCTAATAGAGGACAACTCCACAGGCATCTTATGCCATAGAGTAAGACATAGCCTAGTGGAGCTAAACCAGGTGCAAAATCCTAGCTCTGGGACAGACAAGTTAGCCTGGGCATATTCCTCTAGCCTAATGTTACATCCAGTCCATCTGACAACTTATTTAGCTTGATTAGAAATGGACAATTGCATATCTATCTATCTATAGAAAAAAAGAAAAAGCTCTTGAAAGGTCAGAGTCACCCCCCCCATGGTTCATGTACATGTTTATTCTGGAAAACACACTGTCCCCTACCTGTCAACCAAACTGTACTTAAAGCCCAAGCCATCTCAAGACAAGATGAAATACAAGCTCACCTACTATACAACAAATAATTACCTCTGCTAATAGGCAGCTAAGGACATACAATGATTGGCCCCAAAGATGAGGCAACTTTCCCACTGGGACACGATCCACTGAGTGAGGATTTTCATACTCCTCATCCACCTGAAAACAAGGAAGAAGAATTACCCTAAAGCTGTGACAAACAACCAGTAACATGAACTATCTGAAAAAATATGCCCTATCATCTACCCTTCCTAACGTGATATTATCACTGACATCAAGATGTCTCGGGTTTACTTTTAAGGCTGCACATTTTCTGTGAGAAGAACTAGCTTCGTTTTTGTACACTGCTCCACCCTTTGAAGCTGGAGGTTGAATGGGGACTCTGCATGCAATTATGTTTATGCTTGGTGCTAGCACTTCCCCTTTCTTCTCACCATGCTTTTGCTGCCTTCCCTCTGGGCAGCTTGTAGGTAATTGTGTGTCTGCTTTCCAACCCCTTACAAGGTTAACACTTGAACTTCACTGATGTCTACCTAGCTTCCTGAAGTAAAGGTACTTCGCAGAAATAAAGGCTATTCCACCCTTCACATGTTAGCAAGAATGGTCAATGGAAAAATTAAGAGCAGACTCTTATTAATTTAGAAAAAGAGAAACTGCCTTGGTTTTGTAGTATACAGATCTATTGAGGGCAGGGAAAAACCCTCTTAGATAACATCTTTAATATAGCCATTTAAAAATGTATACATGACAGGCAAAATCTACCCTGTTTACTTGGCATGTTCATCAGATCATCATCATCATTTTATCAAAATTCACAAGAAGGCTCTGAACTCTTACATGCTTGTTCCCACTGGGAAGGAAATTCAGAGTTTCCACCTCAGATCTGCAAGCAAGACATCAGCTGTCGACACTCCCTGCCCAAACTCAGAACAACCCTGGAGGCTCCACACCCTTAGTGAGTGAGGGCTGAGAAGTCTGGAGTGGGAGAAAAAGTTGGCAGGGAGGGATAGAAAGGCAAATAGCAGGGAAGAGCACATAGGCTCATCTGAATTTCTCTGTCACAATGGGACAATCAGGTAAACAGCAAAGATGGGGGGAAAAGAAAAAAAAAACAAACCAAACAAAACTCCCAGACCAAACCCTAATCCATCTGAAACCTGCTTCTCTCTCACATACAAGCTCTGGAAAAGAAAGAGCACAATCAATTAAAAGACCAGACAGGCAGGCCAATCTACACTTTATATCTTTGAGCTTCTATCAGCATCAGCACTTCTTAAATATCTGTCCTGCTATAAGGATTTAAAACTTTAAACCTGCTCTAACATTTCTGCAGGCACCCAGACTCCCAAGTGAAAAATGGGACCATTTGGAAGCCTAAAGTTTACCATTTCTCAGTGGGAGCTCTTAGTTTTTAAAAAATGTGCAGTAGTCTTTTTGTTATTGCTGGTTTAGATTTATCAGCGATAGCAAACTATAAAACTAACATTCATCTTGACATCTATACTTTCCATACTGAAGTGGATGCTGCATTTTCACAGTACCTTTTCTGGAGGGACTGCATATAGTTCAGGCATTAGCACTATTCCGTTCTTCTCTCTAATAAGTATTCCTTCCAGTGCCTCTCTATACTCTTGTACCTGGAAATATTTTTAAAACAGACGGAGAATTCACATTACAGCCAGCAAAACCAAAACAATAAAGTTTTAGCACCTTCCAAAAGTATTTTTCTGCTGAAAGTTCATTAAAACAAAAAAGAAGGAGGAGGAGAGGCAGAATCATGACTTGCTGATGGAAGATCGGGGTTCAAATTCTCAGAGACTGTTCCAGCATCTCAGTATCATTGGCCTCAGAAACATGAACACACATATTTAATCTATAACACACCACTGCAGTACAAAACTTCTAATGTGTTCCTATCAACAAGTCACTGGAACAAATTCTACACGACATTTGCAAGAGATAACAATGCCGTGATATGGATGTCAGGATTGCCAATATCCATAAAGGTGTAAGGTGTACAAATTGTGAGCTTCCTATCATGCACATTTGTCTATGATTTTCTGCATTCTGCTTTGCAGGATTGGGAAATCAGTTTCTCTTAACTGATTTGGTTAAAAATTTGCCCAATGAAAAACTTGAAACCAGATTTAAACTATTTAAAAATATTTAAGTTAACTGAACAAAAAATCCTCTTGTTCTTGTATTGATAGACAACATATTATGAACAGGAATACCAGAATGATACAAAATAAAGAACATTTAATATGCTTTTTACCAGATCCCTTGTTTTGTTCCACTTCATAACTATCCCATTACAAGTTTTTACTTACAGGGAAGCTGTTTTCAAGCACTACCAACACGTGTCTCTGAAATCCTATTTCTGTTAGCCCTTTCTGAGTACAGTGGAACACACCAAGGTATGCACAGGTTCATACTATGGTTCACTGATATTTTCAGTATCCTGTCCTGATCCACTCTTTTTGAGTCCTCAGGGTTGCTTATTTTTCTAACAATTTCTGCCATTGCCACCAGTTCTTTGCAGTGGTAATTGGAGAAGACCAGACATTCACCTGAATGCCTCAGTGACTCACTCAGCGATGTTTAAACTGTGGGAATGGGGAGCAATTTCTCGGTCTGACCATGCCCTAACACAGCCCATCTTCACACCAAAAAGGCCACCAGGTACATATCATCCCAGGTAATCCAACTAAGTTCTAGAAACTGCTTTGTGAAGTGGTATTTTATTGACATGACTGAAGTTTCAGTAAACCTTCTTATTTTCCCCACATGAAATAATGCCATTTCTCTCTCCACCAGACTAAATCTATTCTGTTCAGGAAAGCAACTTACATTTCTAGTGTCAGTATTTCACTTGATTTACAATATCTGGTACAGAAAGAGGGCTTTTTGGTCTAAAATCATCTGTTTTGTTTCTGATGCCATTTTATTTTTGAAGGGTTTATGTTTAGCAATTTCCTGTCCCCCTGCATACTAGGTGACATTAAATCACATGTATTTTTTAATTCCTCCAAGCCACCAATCTACATAAGTCCTGGTATGAATACATTTAGTCCTGCCTATTTACTGCTCTGTAACTCACCAGTACTCTCTAGGTGTCACTACAGCCTTCGGAGGGCTACAATCAGTTTAGCTCCCCTGATCACTGGATGCTTGACACAGTAAAGGCATGAAGTAACTTAGGGAACTAGTGAAAATGAAATGGCTCCTCGTAATCCAACCCCAGATCTCCCTGAATGTATAAAAGGGCTGAATATTGTTCTCAGCAGCCAAGGCACCAAGGCTGGGGAAAAAAGAAGTTGGTCTCATCCTGAAGTAACTGGAAAAGGGGAATAAAGGTTGGTGATAAGACAGAAACAGGCAAATAAACCCTGTTTGGCCCAGTCTGACCATGCCAGCTAACAGGGCCCCTCAACCTGGTAGACAGAAGGCAACAAGGCCCCAGTGTGCACAACACTGCAGCCTCTACCACATCACAAACTTGCCAGGAAGGTGGGATTGGCCGAAGACTACTCCCATCCTGTTGATGAGGTACCCAACTGATACCCAAAATAAATGTGGAGCAAAGCTACAAGATACTGTGGGTAGACAGCTTTGCATCTCCATTGAAAGTAATTTCTCCTTTCCTCACCTGGATTTTGTCCTCATTAAATACTCCATCAATCAGGAAGTATGTCCAGAATACCGGCCACTCGCATTCAATATTCTCAAAGAGCTTCAGTTCAGCAGGATCATAGTGCAGCCTGCTTGGATCCTGAAATTCAATCATACTCGTCTAGTCACAGAGCTAAATTAGTCACTCATATTCCAACGGCAGCCTATTTCATACAAGTAATTAAACCCAAGAAACAAATAAAAACACAAGAAATAGTTTCCATGCAGCCTCTTCACTTCTTTTTCACATTCAGTCTCAAACTCATTTAATCATTCCCTAGACAAATCAACCCTTCCCAGTCTCAGAATCTAGGTGTCACCCAAATAATCTTGGCTCTGCCTCAGTTCAGAGGTATTTTGGGAACTCCTCAGAAACACCACTTCCGCTTAGGCACCATAAGGGTTCATTTCTTATAGAATTATGAATTAAGTTCTGTCCTTAAGGGTTTTCAAACCCTTAGTCTTCTTCAGACATGTGTCATTTCTAGGGTGGATACCTGGATTAACTCCAAATCCACTAAAATGCCTTAACAGCGATACACATCTTCACCCCTTCATGTAAATGAGACAAAAAAGGTCTATAAACAAGAGATAAAGTTCTTCCTAATGCCTAGTGAAAATATACATCGGAAGTACCTCTCTGGGTGTCTTGTAACCATCTCTGAGAAAGCGACAGCAGCCATAGCGGCCCTGTAAAAACAAACAAAATTACAGAAAACATCACATACTGTTCTTCTTCACAGAATAACATCAGCATAAAAGTATGTGCTCAGTTTTAAGTGTCACTTAGGGATTTTCCTCTCTCTCTTCCACACACAGAACCAAGTCTGGCAACTTTTGTTTAATTAGGATTTTTGGTTAAGGAAAGGAGGTTTTGCTTGTCTTTTTCTCTGGAAAATAAAGGAAATCCTTACCTGCAATTTGGATATGATTTCACTCTTAGTTACATTAACAAGGTTTAAATCCTCCACTGCAAAAGCCGGGTAAGAAATAATAGAGAGAAGGCCAGCATCTATCTCCTTTGACGTGGATGCCCGTGGCAACATGGAGTATAGAATAGACTGAGCAAAACAGGAACAGAAGAGAGGGATGTAAAACAATTCACCTACTTCAAAAGACTATGTCCAGTGCAAATGGAATAGACTATACTATTTTCAAACCGACAGAGAACTCACTGCATAATTATTTTTAAGTGAGTTAGAATACGAATGCTTCACACCAGTCATTTTCACATGATCAACTAGAAACAGGGTGAACAATGTAGTCTGAAGCCATCCTTATTATGTTAAGCTCTTGGTTCAGTTAATCAGCATTTCATTTAAAAACAAATGGGTTTTCCCCTAGCAAAGGAAACAGAAGACTAATTTTTACCTGACAGTGCTCTACTTCATCAGGAAGAACATGAATCACTGATTTGTGTCCTCCATGAGCTCCAAAAAGATCTAGTTCATCAATTGCTTCCAAAGCAGCCTCCAAAAAAAAAAAACCCAACCAATCACTCAAAAATCATTAAATACCTTTTAAGCCAAGTATACACCCTATCACCTGTGCTTATCCTCTAAAGGAAATTATGTTAAAATATCAGTCTGCTCCACTGACATTTTTTCATCTTTCAAGGGAAGCTTCGCAATAATTCAGAAAAAGTAAGTATTCCTGTCTTTCCACTAGAAGGATACAGGACTGATGTGCTAGTGATCTTTCTTATAATTTAAATGCAATGCAAAACAATAGAGAGCTGGGCTGCCACTGAAATAATATCTAAAGTACGTAGTAATTAATGCTTCTCCTGTCCTATATTCCAAAATACCCCCCATTCAGTAGCCTTTCACTCCTCCTGCTTGAAGGACTGTTCAAAGAGGAAGGCTTGTTCAAAGCGCCCCAGAATCAGCAGAGGCAAGTGCCCTGAGAAGAGAGCATCACCATCTCTCTGATATTATCACTTCCTGAGAGAAGAGAAACAAGATGTCTGCTCCCTGCACAGCCAGTGAGGCACACCATGCTCGACGTCACCTGGTGAATCACCACATCCGTACCTCTTGGCCATAACACATTTGCCTAGTGAAGATGTCAGCAGCCCAACCACCAACTCCATTTGGGCACTCCTACATTCATCTAGCAGGCTACAAAAGCTGGCTTTGCAGAAGCGGGGCATGCAGCACAGTGCAGGGAATGTGGCAGGAAGAGAGCAAGGCCTAGACAGCCAGAGTCAGGCTCGCAGAGCTTTTCTCTGAAACGCATATTCACAGGGCTAAAGTATCACTGTGCCCGTTTTTGTCTTGCAGGTTCATGGTAACGTCAATCTCTGACAAAGGAAGGATCGCACACTGCAGGTTGCCTTTCTCTCTCTCCAGTAAGGCAAGGGCATTTTCCTTCTTCCAACACAAACATGGGTTTACTAGTTCTGCAGAGCCTCTGTCTAGCCAAGCATTAGAGCAGCAGATGCTCCTGACAGTAGCAGAAAGCCCCATTAAGGAACTGATAGTTGGGACTCGGGGCAGTCTTAATGGTGAGCAAAAGGTATTGAGAACAATCCAAAGGCATATGCTCTGTTCTGTACTACTGCCACAGGGACCCACACAAATCAGATGAGGGAGGGAAATATTAACAAGAATTCCTGAGGCATATTTTAAAAAGTAGTATTTACCTTGCCCTCTGCAGCAGGGCCTCCAGCGTGCCTCCTGGTACCCACCCAAACCAGCACTTTTATTGAACCCAAAGAGATGCAAAACTGTGCAGCAAGTCCCACAGGTGCTCCTGACATCAATGCACCCAGAAGTCACATAGAGAGCACAGCAACTCGTGTCAGGCTGTTCAGTGCAAAAAACTTAGTACTGGAGAGCTAAGGAATAACTTACCCCAGGAACACTGCCCCACTGCTATTTGACTGAACTGTGGTCAAGACCAGCAGTTTGTCCCTCCTGCAGCTACACAAGACCTTGGTAACTAATAAATCCTGCTGAAATGCACCTACACCTTTGACCTTAACAATACTTGGCTTCTGTCAGTCTCCCGGACAGCATGTAAAAACGTAGTTGTCAATTACACATTTACATTTATGGCCTTCTGAGCTTCATTTATAGTATCTCTGTGACCTTGTGCTACGGGGGAACCAGAAATATCCACTTTCTTTTAGGTACACCTTTATCATTTTTCCCTCTGAATTACTTGTGAATAATTTCTTAGACTGATATTCTGCTGTTTTCCAGAATTTACATCCAGAGGGACCTTGACAGGCTTGAGAGATGGGACTGTGCAAACCTTGTGAAGTTCAACAAGACCAAGTGCAAGGTCCTGCACATGGGTTGGGGCAATCCCAAGCAAACATACAGACTGGGCGATGAGTGGATTGAGAGCAGCCCTGTGGAAAATGACAGGCTTAGAGAGTTGGGGTTGTTCAGCCTGGAGGTGAGAAGGCTCTGGGGAGACCTTATAGTGGCCTCCCAGTACTTAAAGTGGGCCTTTGGGAAAGATGGGGAGGGACTCTTTGTCAGGGAGTGTAGTGATAGGACAAGGGGTAATGGCTTTAAAGTGAAAGAGGGGAGATTTAGATTAGATGCAAGGAAGAAATTCTTTAATGTGATAGTGGTGAGACACTGGCACAGGTTGCCCAGAGAAGCTGTGGCTGCTCCCTCCCTGGCCGTGTTCAAGGCCAGGTTAGACGGGGCTTTGAGCAACCTGGTCTAGTGGAAGGTGTCCCTGCCTGTGGCAAGGGGGTTGGAACTAGATGATCTTTAGGGTCCCTTCCAACCCAAACCATTCTGTGATTCTATGATTCTGATTCTACAATTCTATGATTTAATCTTACCATGAAAACATCACATATAATACTGGAGCTAGAGAATTAAGACAGAAAACCAGAGGCCACTTAAAGAGACTGCACCTCACTGAATCCATCAAGAGTCATGCCTCAATGAATCTGGCACCCTTCTTGCAACCCCTGGAACAACTGTGCTGAGGTCCCTCAATGAAAGCCATTATCACAAGGATTTCACACTGAAAAATACTCACTCACACCCAAACAAAAATTCTTATACAATCAGCTAACTATCGCAGTGGCCAAGAAGACTATGCAAAGGAAGCCATCAGGTTTGTCAGAGCCCTTCAGCGTGAAAGAACAGCCATGAAGGAGGTGTCAGGAAGACTTTCTCACTTTGGCCATCCCTACGGAGCTTGCGTTCAGTTCAGGGATGCCCTGGTTTGTCTTATCACCACGTTCCCAAATTCCATAATCCTGCAATAACAACATCATCAAGAAAAAATTGGCATGATCATATAAAAAAACCAATGTTTTCCCCCCTTGTACCCCAACAAAACCAGACCCCTGCATGAAATCAGTTTATTTGCCTTAAAAAGAGAATTAAAAAAAGGCTGCAAGTCTCCAAAGAGCCCCTTCCTCCTCACATTTAAAGAACAGCACAGAAAAATATACCAAACAAGATCAGGTCTACAGTCATGAATCACTGTCTTCACAGAACAAAAAGCACTTTATCCTTCCCCCTGTACATGCTTCAACCTGTGTCCCTTCAACTTGTCACTTTCCAAAAAACCTTAACACTTTGCTCTTTTTAGAAAGGCCCATAAGATTTGAATGAGATATCAGGAAATATTAACTATCAATACAGAAAAATTATTATAATCTAACAAGTATCTCACCCAGAAAGCCCTCCCACCATCTCCAAAGATGCTGCTCACAATGTAAAGTACTGACAGGATCTGATCTCTTCTCATGGAATAAGAAGTCTGTATTTTTCTTCTCCATCAATAAATAATTTTCCACCCACATCTGAGCAGTGTTCAAGTGATTTACATATAAATAACTACTTACAGCAACTTTGTAGGCAGCTTCTATGTAAAATACAAGATTCTGAATAAAGGTAACTTCATCAAGGGTGAAGATAATACGTAACCCTGATTAAAAGAAGGGAATAGAGTAATTATACTGTATCAGAACTGAAATACTTACTCCTCCGTGAGTTTCATGGGTTTTTTTATTTGCTACCAACTACTGCCCACTGAAATCAATAAAAAACTCATGTTGATTTCAAAAGATCAGGCAGCAAGCCTCAATACTCGCTGCTGATAAAATACTTCAAATGCCACCAATACATACTGTTTCAAAGATCAACCAAAACCCACCCCTGCGAGACCAGCATTAAGACACTGTGGGTACAAAGTAGATACATCTGAGCCAGCTCTGGCACTCACAAGCAGTGCATCTCAATTCCCGTAGCTCTCCACCCCTTCGCCCTCTTAAGAGTTCTATCAAGGGACCACCAGGATGACCAGTCACCTGCTCTGCAGGGGTCAATTGTAAGGGGCTCTGAGAACAGAAAAACACATAAGGAAACAAATCCTGTCCTTGCAGGAGGAGGACAGTTAAGAAGTGCACAAAAAACAGTGCCAGCAAGAAGAGGAACACAGACAGCACTACTGGCACCTGACTCAAAGTTGCCACTCTCTGAAGAAACCTGGTTGTCCATAAGGACAGCAGTCTTCAAACACAAAACTTTTCTCTCACATGGCTCTGAGTATCTCATGTATTTGTATGCCAATATGAAGGGAATGGACATAGTCACTATAAACATGAAATCCTAACTAAGCCACATCTCTTTTTCAGAGAAATATTACTTTCTTCTGAGTAATAACTGTGTCTTTGCAGCTAGTTACAACTTTTTTTTCCTTCTTAAATGAAAGCCAGAATAGAAAAAGACTGCAATAACAGTCAAGGCTAAGATTATCTTCTGCTTACCTGATGCAGTCATCTGTGCCAAGAAAAGCAGGTAAAGCGAAGTTGCATCCACTTGTAGATGCCCCCACTGGTCATCCCCAACCACCGTGGCACAAGTTGCAGAGTTATACTTGGCATGTAGGCAGTCTTTGGTACTCTGTGTGCGTTTGAACTTCTCTACCTTATCTACCTAAAATACACCACAAATCTCAAATCTGAAACATTTCAGAAGAAATTCTCCAAACTACTCAAAACTAGTAACTTTTCCTAGGTGAGGAGAAACTTGAAGTCTTAATTTTTGTTACCTCACTTCAGTGTGTTTTGATTGATCAGACTGCTTAAACACAACTCTAACTTTAGGCTTCAGCTAAATCACATCTCTCTGGGAAAGAATATTACCTTGTTGAATTCAAATCTTGGTTATGGGTATGCATCTTGGTGAGAATCAGTTTGCAAAGGCAAAACCGATTTGCTACAAGCATAACCTCAAAAAGGGGCAAGATTAGAGTTTTGCTCAAGAGCTTGAAAAAGACTCCCCACACATGCAAAAAACTCACTCTATAGAAATAAAGACACAAGGAACACGTGCTTCAGATGAACTGCTTAGTAAATGCAACACATACTAGCTCAACTCATACCTATGACATTACCTGTCTCATCATGCACTGTAAGAGTCCCCGCATCAGCTTCACAACGTTCTGCAGGAACAAAACAGACCAGTGACACCCTCATAGGCTGGCCTCATCAGCTGTTACAAACAACGTTCAAAAGTGACAAAGTTGACACTGCTTACTAACATCCTGCCAAATTTAAAAAAAGGCATGTTTATCTGAAATGCTTTACATGCTTTTTTTTTTTTTTTTAATATACTGGTTGATTTTTATTCCCACATTCCTATCTAAGAGAACAAATCTTTTCCCAAAGGCCTTCTCTCAACAGTGGAGCAACTCTCTGTGGTCCCTCTACCCAGGTAAAGAAGTAAGACAAATGCTGTATCTTGTAAGGATAATAACAATGATGATTTTTAGATCCAGGGTACACTGGCAGAGGACTGCAAGACACTGACATGATCGGAAAACCTGTGGAGCTTCTTCCCTTCTTCATACAGTACAACAGAAAGCACATGAGTAATGTAAAGAAAGGGCCTGCAGTGCATACAAAGAGAAGCAGGAGATTTTGCTATACTGGAGAAATCAACCTCATCTTTTTATAGAAAAATTATTGTAGCCTGAAAATATGATCATGCAAACTGAGCCAAGGTTATTCTGTCACCACAGATCTCCCTGGGTTGAGCAGTACATACCAGTCCATACCTAGACACAGCAGCAATGTGAACACATCGTTCAGAACCATGACCATATAAAAAACCAAAGAGTGTAACTGGTTTACACCAGTTTGACATACCTGCTCGAGCTCGTAGGCTTTGGCCTTATCCTCATCCCGGTCTGCATTCTTCCGATAAGCCATTCCCAGCCCCCACACAGCCAGGATGCTGTAGATGTTGTCCCGCACCCAAGCATCTTTATGGTCCGTACCGGCTGAAAGCAGCCCCGTAACTGGATTCTGATCATGACAGAAGGAATAAAGAGCAAACATTACTAACTGAAATCCCATCTTTCCATGTCAAAGGGTAAAAAAACAAAAGAGGGAGCCAAAGATAATTTCACACTGATGGCACACTGAGGCTGCTCACAATTCTGTGACAGAAGTGAGGTCCCATCTTTCTTTCCCAAACTCACACAAGTGAAATGCAAAATTTCTTTGAACACTTCAGGACTTATGGCATCCAGCTGGGCATCCTCATCCACATAGGATTATTAGTTAAGTCACTGAGTGAAACTTGAAATATATTGAGGAAACAGGAATTTAAATATTACATATTGGTAAGGAAAAGAGAGTACTGAGTTAACATTAAAAACTGAGTCTGGGATCTATTCGTCTCTATGCAACTGGTCTGTGGCATAAAATTGAGGAACTAAAAAAACACTACTTCCCTTCTCTGAAAATAAAAAATTATTTCTATTTATTTACCTGCTTGGCTTATAACAGCTAAAGCATAAATGCATACAAAGTCATTTTATGTCCTCCTTGAGAAAATGTACAGAAAGACAAATTCCGATGGTGTTGAAATGCAGCACGCTGAGTAATCTGCATCCCAAACACTCCATTAAGTTTTTCATTGCATCATTAATTCCCATTACTGCATTATCATTAATTTTTAAGGCCACCTTTTCCAGCTGTATGTTCTTCACTACCAAAAAAATGAGGTAGAGAGGCAAAAGGTCAATAGAGCTTTCAATCAAATCAAGTCTTTATAGCAAATTTCAGTGAATGCAGACTGGTTGCCCGGACTGGTGTGACAAGGGGGAAAGATTGCAATAATAATGATAAGTACAATTAAAAAGAATACATACAGTCATTTCTCATTTCTGCCACACAGGAGTTCAGTCAACTCCTTCTGTAGTTATTTTTAAGAAAGACGTTTTGAGGGGGAGGAACTTCAATTACAATTTCCTGGGCTTTGCATGTGACAGCTAAACAAGACAGGGGTGACAGCCTGACACCCATGACTAGGCACTGTCAGTGCTATTGTTACAGTTTGAATTACAGCAACGTTAGTGGCTCATTGAGAGTAGAAACATGTAGTTCTGCTGAAACAGTCCCGCAGCACGGTCTTCACAAACCCGATAACAACAGCAGGAGCACCTACTCATCCATTTGCTAGGGAAAGCAGCACATATGAACCCAAAGAGCTTAAAAAACTTCTTTATGAACTTGAAAAGTCAAACCAAAGAGTTACTCTTTTTCTGAGAACAAGTGAGTGAGCAAAGAAAGGGGTCCCCACTCCCTGCTGTGCCTGTGTGGCAAAAAACAGGATCTTGAAAGGCAGACCACACATTCCCAGAATTTTTAGAGGGCACTTTGTTTCCCTCCTCCCGTGCAGCACAACAAACTTCTATGTACCTGCAGCCCTGGCTTGACAGAGATCGCCCTACTGCCATTCAAGCCCCAGGGAGGGATGTGCCTTCCTTCAAGGGGCTGCATTAAACCCATCCAAGCGCAGCTATCACCATTTCAGCCCCTCCGGCTCCTCTACAAGAAGGTCCCAACTCTTGGGGCACACTGGGGCTGGCTCTCATGGGCTGACAACATGTTGATGCCTTTTCTCATGCACATTCAGAATGTTAGCAGAACCATACAATATATTAATTAATGTTTTAAGTGGTTTTGGTTTGGTGTTTTTTTTAGAAAGTGCTTACTCTTAAAAACTACAACTATTCTGTTACCTGCTGACACCATATGAAAACTACAACCCATACAAGTTGCTAAAGAACCCAAGGAAACACTGAGTGTGTTTAACCCTAAAGATGTCAAAGGGATGTCTGCTCAGCTAATACTTCAAAACATTAAGTCTATGCAGTGGTTGATAATTGGAGTAGTGGGTCTGATCCTGCAAATCACACTGCACAAACAGATCCATGAAGTAAGGAATTTCACCAGCACCCATGGACTCTGTGAACTGAGAGCACTGCAACAGAAAGCTTATTGCTAGACTAAAACTTTAAACTCCTGTATCATGCCCAATCCTGTTTTTAAGTCTGTTATTCTGAAGCCAAAAAAAACCCCCACAACACCAGCTCCTACAGGGGACCAGACACTAAAAAGAACTTCAGCAATACAGGTGCAAAAATTGCAGGGTTCTAATCAGAGCAGCGATACAAGTAAGTCCAAATTTAGCATCTTGCTGAAAATCTATTTAATTTCCATCTGTCTCACTGATCTGTCAGATGAAAACTGATGTAAGCTCTAGCGAAGTCTGCAGAGAGTGTATGAAACCAGACACACCACAACTGGGGTTACCCCTAAGTGTATGCCAAATGTGCTTTCCTTATCAGTTCCAGATGCTTTTCTCTTACAGTGCCTTAGCAATACTTTAACTGTATATAGGCATTACGTTTTGCTATTTTAGGGACATATTTTAACATTCGCATTTTTTCTTATCTCAAATTAATAAGCAGCTGAGAACAGCCTTCTGGCGATGGTCTTCAGTGCTTGCTCAGCTCCAGTATCGAAACATCCCACAGGCAACAGCTCGCAGACCCCACACCACAGTAGGCAAGGGCACGACAGGAGCCAGTAGTTTGGTCTTATCCTCCCTCTAACAACCTTTAACAGGATCATCCCTGTCACTGTGCATGCTGCAGGCACTGATCAGCAGAATGCAACACTTGCAAAACAAGAAAAAGTTTGCTAACAGCTTTAATCCTGCAAGGTGCGACATACAGAAAACTGTCAGCCCTGGTGAGGGATCCGGACTTTGAATACATGTCTGCCTGCTAGCACTTAAATTCTGAATGAAAATTTGCCTCCGATGTTGATTTAGAGTGATTGGAATGAAGGTAAGATCAATTGCTGCTACTGAGAAACCTGACGCCTGGTGTACTAAACACCTTATTAAAGCAAAATGTTCCTGAGCACATGATGTGTTCTCGCTGTACCCTGAGGAGAGCGAGCTTGTTACTGCCCTCCGTCAGAGCACACCAGTTGACATGCCAAGTCTGCATACCTGGCACGCTTCTGGGTGCAAGGTATAAGGTCAGAGTCACACATCACCCCTATGCTGAGTAGCAACACCTCAGAGGCATCTTAAATACCTCCTGGCTCTTCTGCCAGGCTGCCCCTGGGCAAAACAATGGCTTAAATTCCCCTCCCTGGCTCCATCCTGAAAGGCAGTAGGAAGGCACCACCAGTGCAGCAGCTGCCCATCCCATCCCATCATAGGCTGTTCTTCTCCCAAGCAAGACGAGGCTGCCCAGGGCCAAGGACAACTGTCCTAACTTGCCCAAGCAAGCACTGCATCTCTTCACCCAGCTGAGCAGGATGTTTTCATTCTACTGCAGCGGAAAACAATAACAGAATAGATACAGAAAACAAATCTAGAAACTCACCATGCAGCATCTCTCTGGGCCCCTCTTGTGATATTTTTGTCCCTCTGCCTTGTTGCTAGCCTGTGACTTGTTTTCCACACACGGAAGAAAACTTCTTTATCTCCTTCCCTCACCTCTGAACTCTCCCCAGCATTGAGCACTGAGCAGAAAAGGCAGCACTGAGTCATGAACATGCATCTAAACACTGTAAATAGCAACTACAAAATTCTGGGTCACTGGTGTAAACACCCATATTACCTACCATTAAGTTACCATTTTTATTATTGTTAACTATTAATAATCACGAAGGCACAGATTTTATCGGGCATGTCTGATGAATGGATCTCAGGGGCTCCATCTCTAACAGAGATCATCTTCATCCAATAAACATGGAAACCAAGGCAGGCACTGGAAGCTAAAATGACTTGTCCAAGGTCATCTCACAAACAAGAGGCAGAGACAGGAGCAAAACTCAAAGCCACTCCCACATCCCAGCAAAATTATCTTCTCACAGCACTTGCACCATCTCCTTGCATTAGTTTCTGATGGATTTACAATTTACAATAATTAGTACACAAACATTAATTTGCAGGCGTCTGGACCCTGCACCCACAACAGTCAGTGACAAAAATCTTACTGACCTAAGCAGATTTGGGTTCTAACCTCTTCTTTCACTGCTTTCCAGTTGCTTGTAACTCTCAGCAACTCAATATATTTGGGAACTGATCCGTGCAAAAAACTCAGTTGCCCTCACGTCCTGGACTGCCTTAACTGAAGCATGACACTGCAAGCACACTGCCAGCGCCCATCCTCAGATCCCGCACGGGTGAGGCGAGCACATTAAGCAGAGAGCTCTATGCTACATGCTTATGCTGGCCAAAACCCACAGTGGGTAATGGTTTGTTCCTACCAGCTCTGACACCTTATTCTTGTACTGCTCACACATGCAGGCAGCCCTGCCCGAGAAGCCAGGGGCCAAGTGGTGACAGCGGGAGCAGTGGCTCCACTCAACCCCACGCTGGACAAGCTACACCAGCAGCAGGTTGGGGACAGGAATCTCTCGGACGTGCAGCGCTGCACACACGTACCGCACAAAGGACACACTGCGAACCCTGCTCTGTCCTGGATTCACACCGAGCTGATGCTGACAAGACGCATTTCAAAGGCCCTGTTTGGGAGCTCTACGTTACTGGGACTTAATAGTGTTAGGGGCATACATATATAGATTTACATGTTACAATGTACGTCTACACAGTGTCACAACGGGTGGGTATGTACGGTATGACCGTGTCACAACGGGTGGGTATGTACGGTATGACCATGAACACGTTCTATAAACAGCACTACTGTCTGGAACCTCCGACTCGCTCTATTTTCCACGTATCTTCCACCGTGCATTTCTATAAGCGGCTAGCGAGCACCTTCGGGGCTCCGCACCGCCTCAGCTTCCCCCGCGCCCCTCCTCAGGCGGGGGAAGGAGGAGGTGATACGGAAGGAGGCCGTGCGCCTGGGAGAGGAGATATTTTCTTCCACCGGCCCCGCCGTGCCCCTTGTGCAACCAGGCTGCTGTGACCGGCCCCGGC